TGTGATCTATTGTTTCATCTGCTTCCTTGCAGAGTCTACATTTGGTATCTGTCTACTTTTCAATTCTGGCTTTGAGGGCATTTGTTCAAATGGCTTGTTTTTGGGCTACCAGAATCAGGCCCTCTGTCTCATTATTATTATTATTATTATTATTATTATTATTATTATTATTTTATTTACAGTATTTCTATACCACTTTTCTCACCCCTAGGGGGACTCAAAGCGGTTTACACATAACTGACAAAACTTCAATGCCATACATTGGACACTGACGCGATGCCAAACCATAACAACCACAATAATAAAACCACAATTAAACATAAATCATAATTAGACAGTAATTAAGCAATCATTAAAACAATAAATAATAAAAACAGTCTCGCCAGTCGTATTGTCATTCTAGTCCATGTCCTTTAAACTCTATAAACATCTACTGTCCAAAGGCCTGATCCCAAAGCCATGATTTTAATTTCTTTCTAAAAATCCAGGAGGGAGGGAGCAGATCTTACCTCATTTGGGAGTGTGTTCCATAGGCAAGGGTCCACAGCTGAGAAGGCCCTGTCTCTCGTCCCCGCCAGACTCATTTGCGCAATTGACGGGAGCGAGAGCAGGGCCTCCCCGGATGATCTTAGATTACGAGATGGGACGTAGGGGTGGATGCGTTCGGACAAGTAAGCTGGGCCAGAACCGTATAGAGCTTTATAGGTCAAAACCAGCACTTTGAATTGGGCTCAGAGATGGACTGGCAGCCAGTGGAGCTGGCACAACAGGGGGGTGGTATGCTTCCTGTATGTCGTCGCCCCAGTTAGTAATCTGGCTGCCGCCCATTGGACTAGCTGATATTATTATTATTATTATTATTATTATTATTATTATTATTATTATTTGGTAGAGTAAACTTGTAGATGTGGATTCCATAAACACATTTCATTTGGAAAGGTGACTGACATGAATCATATATAGTTGAATAAATCACTGAATGCAGACTGGCATGAGGGTGAAAGAGTTCATCATTCCCTAACTCATTCTGACTAGGTCCAATGTGTTCTAATTGAGCTGGTCGTGGTTTGAGGGGATATAAAGCTTACTTTGCAACCCTGGACTAGTCCCTGAGCTTTACCTTCTGCAGTGTTATTGTGGAGGGAAAATTCTGACTCAGAGTTTGTGTACAAAAAGATAAAACCCAAAACCTGGAATTACCATGAATCCAGTGCTGGCTGTCTACATGATGCAGTACAACTTCCAGTGCGTTTCTTGGGCTTTCTGCCCATAGCTGATGATCCAAATGAACAGTCGTTTCCTGCCACTGACATGTTCTGGAGTCAGGGAAACTCCCTATGCAGACATGGTTTCAGACTCTTAAGGCAAAGATCAGGATGATAATCTGAAAGATCAGCTCATCCATTGTGCTAGTTTGATAACTACTTAATCTAAAAAATATGGATGCAAGTAATTGCTTATGTCTTCAAGATGCTTCTGTCCAGATTCTTAAGAACTGGCCAACAAATGTCCAGATAGTTGTATGAATATGTTCTATTTATGATGACAGTAAGTTCATTTTAACTCTAGGAGAGTGAATGCTAGTAATGTTCAAAGGAGGGTCTGAATTAATAATAATGTTTTAAAGCAATTGCTCTATTAATATATCTAGCAAGTCTCAGCTGCAGCTTATTAACCAGAAAATTAGAAGAGGTAAAACAAAGCCTGGGGTCTTCTTTTTGAAACTATTGGTTCTAAGGAAACAGATGAGACTGGCTCATGTTGCCTCTCTGGGATTTTTTAAAAAAAAACACATTTAATTAAATTGTATTTTAAAGATTAAGTAGATACATACTGAGGATGCGTATTGTCACAGCAGGCTCTAGGGGCTATTATGGAAACCTCTTTACTCATTTTCCCTCCCCAGACCATAGTCTAAATTAATATTTTTTTTTATCCTTGGCTTGCAGAAATAATATATAGAATATGTTTATTAAATGAATTGGAGATGTACTGTGTATTGATTTGAGAGCATACTCTGTGCAGCAAGAAAGGAATATAGGAGGCAAAATGAAGACATGTATTTATTTCTCGCATTTCTATCCCGTTCTTCTCAACCCCCGAAGGGTCCTGATAGGAGGCAAAATGAAGACATGGCTCCCCAAAAGAATTTTGCCTCTCAAAATGAAATTTTCCTTCAATTCCCAAATTTCAAGCACTGCCAAATTAAATATTGAAAGGCACTCACCCCTAGAATGCTAATATTTGCTTGCTCGCTTTCCTTTTGTAGCGTTACCCTGTCCCTTATTTCTTGATACCTAAACTGTATTTCTAAAAACTCAGCTCAAGTGTTAAGTTACTGAATGCTTTTCACTGGTATATAAGTACCTCTGCTGGTGTCAATATGGGGTGTGACTTCCAGGAGTGTCCCAGAGCAATGCAGATGTTTGTAGTAGCAATGAAGGGAAGAGAAAGTGACAGTGGACACGGGTCCAATCTATCCCCCTTTCCCTGTACTGGTGAGTGCAGGGAAAAGGGAGTGGCAGCATCAATCCATGTGGACAGTGGATCAGTTCACATTGGAGTTGTCCACACTCTACCCAAAGTGTGGGGCTGCTCCTGAGTTTCAACAAAGCTGAATAATTTTGTAATTTTTTTGTAACAGGGGATTAAATTAGCTCAACTTAGTTTACCCAGCATTAAAGATTAGAAGTCCCTGGACATTTTGGAGTGACCTTAAAACATATGGGCACCATTGTGTAACGGTGGAGTGACTGCTGTACCATGGCCCAATATACAGTTAGCACTGGGGCACAGGGAGCATTTCCAGATGCACAACTGGACACCAGTTAGGAAGAACCACAGGCTTGTGTAACAGGAGTGCCAAATATAAAGCAGAAGTGCCCGTAGTGCCTTATATACCCAATGTGTATCAGAAAGTGTCAATATTTGAATGTTCATCTTTGGAATTCACCCAAAAGGTAATGTTGCATTTCTGCAACTTAACTACAGATTTGTAAAATAATGAAATGTAAACTGCGATGTAGGATCTTGTCCCATGTTTTAACTGCTACTTATGTATTGATTGTTTAATTATTGTTGTAAACTTTGCATGATGTAACATTTGATAGATTTTGAATCATCATAAATGAAAACTAAGTTCTTGTTCTACTTTGTAAAAAAAGATCAAATGTTGGAGTTTTGGCCTCTGGTAACCAGAATTCAATTCCTGCTTGGGCATGTAAATATTTCTTGGTGATTTTGAGCAAGTCCCACTCTCTTACCCCCAGAGGAAAAGGAAGACAAACCTCCTTTGAATAAATCTTGTCAAGAAAACCCTTAGTGCTTCCATAAATAATAATAAAAAATTGAAGGCACAAAACAATCAAGATGAAGTAAATAATACCCATTATCATTTTATTAATTTCAACATAATATTCAAGGAAAGTTATAACATTGCTTTATTTGAAGTTTCAGAAAACAGACAGCTATTCTTATAGGATTCTACTGTAGTGAATACTGTTTTAGAGTGGTAATTTTGCTCTAAGGTTTCTGTTCCTTGAGACTACTCATCAGCATCAAATTAAAGAGTTACGATTACAAAAGAGAGTAGTGAAGTAGGCAAAGATAGTTAATAAAGATGCTGTGACCACAATACTGTCACTTTCTTTCTTCTAGATGCTACACTACAATCTTTGCCTGGTGAAGTCTAGGAAACATTGGAATTAGTGTGATATATTTGGCATCTTTTATCTGGTCTAGGAAGTGTATCACCAGAGCTCAGATTTTATAAACAATATCAGCATGTCAGTAGAACATAAACATTAAAAGTCCAGCAAGAATTATTAGGGCTGATTATGCCTTTAATCCATTTTAGTTGATGACTCAAATGCCTTTCAGATAGGTTATCAATATGTTTATGTATTACAAAAACGATATCTTAATTTCATGTTGACACACTGATGGCACTGTAGAATGAATGAATACACACACAGACACACACACACACACAAAGGCCAGAGGAAAGGTTATTTTCCCTCCATTACAGGAACACAGTGGTACCAAAATAGCTTCAAAAACAAGCAGGGTCTAATCCTCACTGATTATAATTAGCCCTCACCACTTTAAAAATTTTCCCACTGATTAAACACCTTAATCTTATTTAGTTGATTGTTCTACCAATTAATATTTATGTTCATGTTGCCTTACTCTTCTACCTCCTGTCTTGGAGCTTCAAGGTTGACCCCTGAGAATATTTAATCTTTAAATTGAAAACAACATTCCGGGGTGTCATGAAAATGCCCTGTGATTTGAAGAAGCAAAACACAAACAAGTTTCTTTGGTATCAAAATTATAAGAATTCCCATCCCTAAAAGTTTGGAAACTTTAGTCCAAGATTCCCCAGAATTCTGGAAGTGGTAGTTCAAAATATGTTTTTCAAACTTGGTGAGAGTGACTGCACACTGAGAACAGTGATACAAGTACATTTACCAAAACTTTTACAACACCAACTTCATAGGATTGTAGTTAGACAGTTTGTCTAGCTTTCAATAAAATCCCTCATATGTTTTACTCAAGGAGAATGCTATATCTGTTATTAATGTTGTTTTCAGCAAAATGCTGCTTGCTATTCTGATGTCTTCAGATTATTTTAGTCTTCAGGGGATAAACCAAGCATTTCCATGTTTATACAACTATTCTCTCTTCCTTTAGCAATGACAACCAAAAGAATGACAAATATGTGTGTACTATACTTTTAGACAAGGACGCTATCTGCATCTCTGACCTTGCAAACCAGAAACCCACACGTAAAAGCAAAAAGCATTTTATGCTCATCCACCTAAGCACATAAGATGACATGACATGACCTGATAAGATGGGGAATGAAAGTGAAAAGGATGGAAGGAATTATGTGTTGGGGAAGAAAGCACTGATGTGTGTATGCCTATTTGGAAACTCATTTCTTTCTCAGAAAGCTAAGCCAATCAGACTTGCCCTTCAGTTTGTGTACATTTTAACAGGTTTGATCCGGTCCCGCATTCGAGGAGCAGATATGGCAGAAGCAGAAGTCCTTACTTTTTTGGACAGTCATTGTGAGGTGAACAAGGACTGGTTGCTGCCCCTCCTACAAAGGATCAAAGAGGTAAGTGTCATGGAAGAAGCTCAGGAGGTCAGATAATGCCCTGCGTTAACTGTACTCATTTGCAGCCATTGGATTTAAAAATAAAACACAGAGAAGTCATCCCTAAAGAGTTTAGCCTTACAACAGAAATAACTATTAAGAAGCAGAATGTGAAATTATCACTTCTTTGAACTACAACTCCAAAGTACTGTGACCCAGAGTACATAGTCTAAAGAAGTTTCTTCTATGTTGAATGTTATAGCAGAAATATTGTTTTAGGTCACATTATTTTTCTACCTAAGTTTTGGCAGTGGTTCTGTATGGCCTCAGGCAGGCAACATGCTTCCCCGTTATATACTTTTTGTCTCTTTTGTGTGGAAATAAATTAGTGCAAACCTGAGACCATTTGCTTTCTATACACATGGCGTTTCCTCATCATAATTAGTTTTGCTGGGCCTAAGATGATAGAAACTGCATCAAAATAAAATGTCTCTGTAAATTCCTGATCAAGTTAGTGGATTTAGATTAACAAACAATGGTTTCACAAACCGTGTCAGCAGATCAGTGTTTCTGCTGAACTGCTGACACACTGATACGCTGACATTGTTTGTGAAACCATTGTTTGTGACCATTGTTTCTGCTGGAGCGCCCGGTGGTGCATTGGGTTAAACCCTTATGCCAACAGGACTGAAGACTGTCAGGTCGCAGGTTCGAATTTGGGAAGAGCGTGGATTAGCTCCCTCTGTCAACTCCAGCTTCCCATGCAGGAACATTGGAAAAGCCTCCCACAAGGATGGTAAAACATCAAAACATCTTGACATTCCCTGGGCAATGTCCTTGCAGACAGCCAATTATTTCACACCAGAAGTGACTTGCAGTTTTTCAAGTCACTCCTGACATGGAAAAAAGTGTTTCTGATGTGTTTGTCAGTTTGAATGTTAAAGGAGATGTCCAAGTTAGTGAGAGAGTATTGGAGTATGACCCTAGAGACCAGGATTTGATTGCCTACTTGCCCATGGAAATTCAGTGGGTAGCCTTGGGGTGAGTCACACATTTTCAATCTGAGAAAACACTGTAATAGATTCAGCTTAGGTAATCATAAATCAGAAACAACTTAAGGGCATGGAACAGCAACCTAGGTGATGAGCCCTATCTCTCAAATAGTTCCTTTTTCCAAAGGCATAAATTCTTAAGTTTTATCAGGGCGATATATTCACAATTGAACCATGCTTGTTGGATCTGCTCACCTTCTCAGTAAACCATTGCAAAAGGTCATGGCAGTAGGCAAAGGCAGACCCACTGCCAAATGAACAAACTGGTACTCCACTCCTTATCTCCAAAGAGTAGAGTAGAAGATGAAACTCAAAAGTGCGTGACCTACACTACAGAACAAGCAAAGGGGGGATTCTCCCCTTGTGTATGCAAATTAAGTTAGCAGAGCCCCAGGGCTCCTGTCAAAGTTGCTGAGTGGTAGAAGGGGAATAGGCGGGCAAGGCTCCAGCCAAGTTTTTAATTAGGCCTATGTTCAATTCCCAGTGCTGAATGATTTAGGGAAGTGATGGCTCTTTGAACAGGGGCTGAATTTAATTTCATGCAAATTAAGCTTTAATAAATTGATTTAATGGGAATTACATCCTGCTGATTTTTTTCTGCAGCAAACAATAGCGTTCCATTTCTGGTAAGGACAGAAAACACGAGATTAAAGCACAAATGTTGTCCTTCTCAGTGAGATAAAAGCCGTTCTATTGTGTCCTTAAAGCTTTTGAATGTGTACAGAGAGTACTTCCCTTCCTGCCTACTGACAATGTACCTTGCAGTTTTAGTGGACTCGGAGGTTGCCCAGTTGTCTGTAAAACACATCCACAAAGGTTTCCCAATGATGTAGCTTGTTTACTGTTGCTATTACATATGTGCAAAGAGTGAAAGTATAGCTGTGCTAAATAACCGTTTGTCTTGGTGGGCCCTCCACAATTGCAAGTTTGACTTTGTTTATTTGTGGATTTGATTAAAATGTTATCTTGAGGAATCTCTAGGTTCTCCAATGCATTCCTATAGTCAACTGCCACCAGAAGATGACCACAGAGTCATGCTGAAGGATGTAGAGATTTGTAGAGATTTGTTCTCCTGGGTGAAAAAATACCCTTTTAATGCTTTTTTTCACCTTTTCAAGGGTCCTGCACCTCTAATTACAGTAAATGTGAAGGGCTAACTGTATTAGTGATTTGTTGTTCTCATTTTCCATCAAGTTAACTAACTTAAGGCAATCTTATGAATGGGAGACCTCAAAGACCCTCAGTCAGAGATAGTCCATTCAGATCCTACAAACTCTGGGTTGTCATTTCCTTGATTGAATCACTCCTCCTATAGCATGGACCTTGCCTTTTCCTTACTGCTTCCATTTGAACGTACGTACATACATAATCTCCAGGCCAGCATAACCAGTGCTTTGGCACTCATTCTTTTCTTTTTTTAGTATTTCTTTTCTTCCTCTCTGTATTATGGGAGAAATACCTCTAATCAAAATGCTTGGGACCAGAACTGTTTAGGATTTTTGGACTTTTTCAGATTTTGGAATATTTGCAATTACATAATAGGATTCTTAGAGATGGGACCCAAGTCTAAACACAAAATTCATTTATGTTTTATACACACCTTATATACATAGTCTAAAGGTAAATGTATTCACAATATTTTTAAATATATTTGTGTATGCAGCCAAGTTTGTGCACATTTAATCATCAGAAAGCAAAGGTGTCACTCTCTCAGCCACCTTTTTAGATATGGGCATATTTTAGGGTTCTAGCTAATGAATGGATACTCAATCTGTATTATTATTATTTGTCATAGGATGTGGCATATTCTGAAGAGAAATATTACTGCATCCAACTACCGCAAAATAATAACAAAATCTACTTTGAAAATAAAATACTTGGAAAAAGATGTCCTAATCCCCTCAGAAAATGTATATAGGAAATTACTGAAGATGCACCACTGCGATTCTAATAATCCATCCCCAAATTATTAAAGTTTATCTTGTTCAGAGTTTTTGTCAAAGCATCTGAGAGAAAATGCTTCAAAATGCCTGGAACTGTTAAATGCTTACTCAGTGGCTATGTGAAGAATTTGTGGATCTATGTTCCATAAAAGTAATACTTTCTGACTCTGTTTTTGTAAATTGCTGGTTAACTTCCATAAGACTTCTAACTGTAAGAAATATGATATCACATTATTATTTCTTCCCTCCCCCCCTCCCCCCCCCCATTTGCCAACATTTCTGTGAAATAAGCTAGGCTAGTTAGTGACTTGCCCAAAGCCATCTGGAGAGCATTGTGAATTGGTCACGGATGTGAACCTCACATCTGAACTCTTGTAGAAATATAACATTTGATACTCTTAGGAGAAATATTTATCTGTTGACTTTATGGAATACAGGAACATCTCAGTTAATGAAGCAAATGTGCTCCTGGCATTACTTCTTTAACAAAATACATGCTGTGAAAGTAAGAAAAAGAATAGGGATATTTTTCTACACCACAAAAAGAAATAGCAATTCAACTTTTTACTTAACAGTTATGTGTACTTGCAAGATAAAATAGGTCAGGTAAATCTTGCATAAGTAAACAAAAATGTTTTGAACTATCTGGAGTTCAAGACTTCATCTGAAGATGGCTTTTTCTTCTCATAAGACTCCACTTAATTTTTATGCCAAACGAACAGATAGATCTATGTTTTTTTTAAACATACTGGAAGTAGCTAGTGAGGAAACCTGAAATGCTATTCCATTTCCTCTTTGTTTTGCTATTCATACATGCTCCGTAAGGGATTCTGGAGGCAGCTGCTGTTTAGGTTTCCTATTGTAAACCGGCACAAATGGCAGCAGTAGGATATGTTATATTATAATCCCATCCCCCTCCCCCAGCTTTGTTTATTGCCTTGTTTACTGCCGACATACTACTGAAAGTCTTTGGTGTTTCCCTAGTCCAGAGCTTCTTAAACAGGGTCCTGATCTCAAATGGGGTCTCACAAAGGGCTCCCCCCATCCCTGCAGAGTCATAGCCATGGTGGCTGCTGCTTCTAACAAGGATTAAGATGGAAGCAAGACTGGGTAGGTAAAAGTAAAGGGTTTCCCCTGACCTTAAGTCTAGAAGTGTCGGACTCTGGGGGGATGGTGCTCATTTCTGTTTCTAGGCCGAAGAGCCGGCATTATCCATAGACACCTCCAAGGTCATGTGGCTGGCATGACTGCATGGAGTGCTGTTACCTTCCCGCAGAAGCGGTACCTATTGATCTTCTCACATTCACATGTTTTCAAACTGCTAGATGGGCAGAAACTGGACCTAACAGCGGGAGCTCACCCTGCTGCCTGGATTCAACCTGTCAACCTTTCGGTCAGCAAGTTCAGCAGCTCAGTAGTTTAACCTACTGCACTACCAAGGGGACTATGAAGACTGGGTAGATGTTTAAAAAACACCCTTAAAAAGTTTTGTTGTAAATGCCTGCTTATCACATTACAAGACATAGATTCTATGGATGTAAAATTCTTATTCCCAGATTTTAAGCTGCTCATTTGGATGCAAAGCCCAGTGATGTCAGTGAGTGTATTCTGAGTGAGGAATGAATTTGTGTTGGTAAGGCCTTACACTTTTCCTGCATCTTTGCTTACTCCCTCACTGATCTACCTTTGAGATCTCTCTATCTAAGTCGTGATAGTTCCTTTCCCACACAAGGTGTTTGATGAGTTGCAGCCAGCAGGATGGCAGTTCTAGCTGTATTTTCCTTGCAGCAACAGGGAATGTAGCTCATTCTCAGAGCTTATGTGATGGATGAATGTGGATGCCATATGCAACAGTGCCGTAGGAATTTCATTACACGGTTGCGGCAGCGGATGAAGCGGTAGCCTGGCCTGAATGAAGCACAAAAGCAAAATGTCACTTCTGCTAACTTCTCTTATTTATATTTTTTTCTCTTTTCATTTCATTCTCATTTAAATTAAAACAGAAGCATCCACAAATGCTAGGAAT